GTTTTTAACTTATTTATGCTAATTTAGAGAACTTTTATACACTTGAAAATGACCTCAGAGAGGTCGAAACGTCATGATTTTTTATCGCTAATATTTATCTCAAAATCGATTTCTAAGAAACTACTTATTACAATTCATCAAGTAACTTAAATAGAAAAATGGTCGAGATTTTGCTGTTGTTTAAAAAATTCATTCCACAATGCTTTTTTTAAAGAGTCAACTGAGTCCCTTTGCCTTACAGGCAAGGATAAGCTGTTCCATGCTTTGCAAGTTGTTACGGTAAAAGTTCTGCCTCCTTCTGTTTCGCGATTATACCTCGGAGAGGTTAGGTTAAAATTACAGTACCTGGTTTGTCTACTATGGATGTTATTGTTTAATTTAAGTAGATCGTTGAGATAAACAGGGACGTCACCTTGTAATCGCTTGTAAGCAATGATACATTTAGATATCAAAGCGTCTTCATAAAAAGGCAACCATTTCAGCCGATTAAACAAGGGAACTGATGGTGCTTGAGGGGGGGCATTCAGGATTACTCTAGCTGCTCGTTTTTGGAGCTTTAGGACCCGCCCAAGGCTTTCCTTATCACAGCTAGTCCAGAGGACACTTGCATAATTAATCACTGGCCTGATCAAAGCATTGTAATAAAGTAATCTTTGTTTAAGGGGCAGATAATTCATAATTTTCTTTACCAAGCCGATGCGCTGTGAAACTTTCTTACAAACAGTCGTAATATGCTCAGAGAAAGATAGCTCTTCATCAATTTCAAGACCTAGTAACTTAACGTTCATAACGTTAGTTAACAAACTGCCGTTGCAAGTAATTTCAGGGTTATTGTTTATTTTGGTCGAGAGTCGCTTTCCCTTCACGGTGAGGACCTTGGTCTTTTTTTCAGCAAGTGGAAGCCTGTTGGCCAATGCCCAGTTAAAAACTTCTGATACAGATGTATTAAGAGATTCCTGCAGTCTTCCCATGCTGCCACAATCTGCTGACAATGTGATTGTAGTATCGTCTGCATAAAGATCGATTTCAGAGGAGCTGACATGAAGTGGCAGGTCATTAATAAAAACTGTGAAAAACAAGGGGCCGAGG